GGCCATCGCTATCAGGTGGAGGCCATCGCTATTAGGTGGAGGCCATCGCTAGCCATTAACTTTTGGCCACCTGACCCCTTCTACATGTGTCCCAGCTCGCGAGGCCTCACTTTGCAGGTGATCCGCTCGCAGTTCTCCGTGACCACCTGATTTCGAGAAGCAGACTGGCTTGTGTGCAGTCAGCTTCCGGAAGTGAGACGGGCTTTTGGAGGTTCTCTTTGATGCCAAGACACTCCTCCACAGCCCACCTCCACCTCTGCAGGCTCAACAGCCTTGCGAGATGGTCTGATTCGAGACTTTCGCGGACAATCGCGGACACCCTCAACTGCCAATTGGGTGCGCATCTGGATTTATATCAAGCTAAGAGGGTCCACATCAACAAGCAAACTCTAGAATTATTAGACTGTCTGACTGTGACTTGGTCGTGGAACATCAGATTTTCTCAAATGGGACACTTCATTCCAAGACACAAGACTCATTAAGCTGCAAAACAGGATCTCAGATCTGCCTTTGGTGTTTCCTGCTTTGCGCTCTTCAGTAGCAAAGATTCAGGCTTACATCCTTGGAAATCCAACAGCCAAAACATGAAAAAGCATTGCGTACCCTTGTGGAAGTTGGGACAAAAAAGGTCCACTTTGTCCACTCTCATCAAATATGAAGACAGACTGCCATAGAGCTTCACAACTGCCTATGAGCTGATGTGCCGGCCGTGACCATTGTTTGCTTCGAGCTCTTTAAGGCAGAGTCTTGCTTGCACGTGTTGGTACGTCTATCTAGAATGGGAAATGTGCACATGTCCGCCACGTCTGTGTGTGTGACCTAATTTTATGCGTGTTCTTTTCTGTCTCTCCTTCGTCTCTGTTTTATTCTCAGTTTCCCTGCTTTATCTTGCTTCTGCTTCCCTTGTTTCTTTTCTTTTCTCCTGCATGCTTCCCTGGAGGACGAAAAGCATGTGGCAAGGCCTATCCTGCATGCAGGATTGCATGCAAATGTCGGGTACTGCAAGCATGTCCAATAGTGAAAAAGTGACACTGTAGATGTTGCAACAGCCAAGAAGCGGAGACGCTCTTTGGTCTCGTCCAAGAGCTCAATCTCCCATCGGCCAGAGTCTGCAACAAAGTCCTGCCACAACAAAAAACAGCGTAGTATGATTGTAAAAAATAGAGCCAAGTAGAATGGGTCTCCCTGTGGCCCTGTGGATCCAGATCTGAATGCAGCTCACAGATGAAAAACACACTGCAAACGAGGAAAACAGAGTGAGAAGTGTTACAAAGGTCCACCCGGGAAATGCACTTCCTTCTTGGCCCTCTTCACTTCTAACAGTAGCATGTATAACTGCCCTCACAACGTTTGGGACTAGGCCTTGATCCCGACTGGGCAGTAGCGAGGGTCCTTTACAATAGCAGCTTTGCCGTTGAGCTCTGCTCTTGTCTTGAGGCCACTGATCTCAATCTGCTGCCCTACTGCCAGCGCAGCTTCTTCTGAGAGAGCTGCAACATAGCCACCTCCAGCACCTGACGCAGGGTGCATTGTGTCGAGCGTTTCGCTACAGCGACACTCTCAGAATTGTTAGGAGTATGAGAAAGAGTTCAGAAAAGTGTTCTTGAAGGTCAGCCAGGAGTTCTTTCATGATCATTGTTCTTTATTTGCAGCGTGTTCTTCTTTTTCTCAATTTGGTCAGTTCTTCAGTCTGAACTCGTGATCATTGTCAGTGTTCCTTCATGATCGTTGATAATTATAATTGTTCATGATCATTGTTCCAAAGGAAAATACATATATACAACGAGCGAAGCACGCCCTGTTCGATCTGCAGACAGACCAAAGTTACTCTGAATGAATACAGTGCATGTTCTACAAAATTGATCGAAACAATGAAAAAAGTAGAAAATGCTTATGGCAAATGCGATGCTCTCCCCAGTGGCCCTGCGGATATGTAGAAAGCGCTGTAAATACCACACGGAATTTGCAAAAAGTGCTCGAAATGACCACACCGTCTACGCGCTGCAGGCCAACCACATATAGCCCAAAAAGGCACATTGCCCGGTGAAACGTCATAGTGGCATAGTGAGCTGATGGTGAGGTTAAAGCTGTGGTCGAGTTGTGGTGTGGTATCTTCATCCAAAACCTATATATAGTACAAACGAACTCCTGCGGGTTACTAAGACCATGTCTACTTGCAAATCCTCTCCACGAATATGTGGCATTGCCGTCTTCAACTACACTACTGCCTGAAAGCAAAAGTATCTGCGTACAGTGTGAGTGGTTCTCTTCTTCTAGACTTTGACATGCAATGAACCTAGCGACCGTGCCTTTCGCTGGAGATATCTCTGGAAGGGCCTCATCTTCTGACTCCTGAGAAGGACTCGTAACGCCCAACAGGGCCCAACAGGGCCCAATATGCAAATATTCGAAGAACTGGAGGGGGTTCTTGCTGAAAGCCAGTGACTAGTTCATGATGCGGAAGCTTCTAATCACGCCTGCCGCCTACTGTCATCTCATGTTGGCCAATTCCAGAGTCTCCTCCTCCTTCAGTTTGGGTGGTGCAAAATCCCAGTTTTGTATTTCTCCCGCGTACATCGGTCGAAGCTCTCCAAGGATTCCATCCAGTTGCCTTAGGGTCCCACCCTTCAGGTCACCGCTGAATGAATAATGCAACTTAACATAACTTAACAACAGGTGTTGCTGAAGGTCCCTCTGGCAACCACTAAAGCACCTTTTTTTTAACAGTTGTCTGCATGGCATACAACCAACTTGACCATAGGTTGAATTCGCGGACACCTATGACACCATCAGCTTGACATAGGTCATCATGCTTGCGGGCACAGCGTGTTTGGTCCTATGCTGAAACAAGGTCATAGGCGGAAAAACTGTTGGATTCCAGATGAAACTGGATCCGTTCAGCAGCTTGCTCTTGTGGACCTTGACAGCTGGCCCAAAAAGAGAGCAGGCTTTAGTTGTCCATAGTCCATTCAAACAACAAATTACACCAGCATTGACCCCAAGCAGCAGCCGCAGCTAAATGTTTCTATTTGCGTAATTGGCTTGCAGTTCCCAACCCCTGTGTGCCAAAAGCATACCGGTCAAGCCGCATTGTCATTCCCAATTCAAGAATTATATAATGTTCTGAACATCCAAGAAGAAAAGCCATGCGAGACAAAGCAGAATCATCAAGGGAGACAGAGGAAGACAAAGCAGAATCATCTCAGCCCAGCATCCAGAAGAGCCATGGGAGACAAAGGATACAAAAAGGAGACAAAAGCCGAAATCATCTTGGCCCAGGATCGTTTTATGCAAGACTTGAGAACCCCTCACAGCAAAGCTGTTTGGGGAAGAAATGTGTCCTCTGTCCTCAAACACTTACATGGTGATGGCCACCATCAAAATGCCAGGAGACGCCCGCTTCCAGGCGTTGATGCCGCCCGCCATGCGGACAATTAAGCTCCGGTCAGCACCCAGCTCCACCAAATACCTGCAACAAGAACTCATTCTTGAAGGATTTGGTTTGACAGACCCGCAGGCAGCAGGCATCTCAAACTAAACAAAATGGAACCTCTCCCATCCAGAACTCAAAGTCTGCTTTGGGATGAGACTCGAGTTTCAACACTGCCAGCTAAGCCGGCTATCAGGTCTATCATTGATTCACCACCTGACCCATCGAGAACAGCTATCGGCGATCGCAAACGAAAGAAAGGACGCCATTGGCGACCAGTGACTGGGCAATGTGGCGACATCTTGAGACATGGCCACGGTTCACATTGCCCTTGATGCAGGCATCCTGACACGGTGGGTGAACAAGAAGAAGAAAGATGGTTGATGTCCACACCAACTACTTGTTGAGCCCCAAGGGGGTGGCCAAAATAGTCAGGTTCTCTCTTGCAAGACCTGCTAAACTTTAGCAAGGTACACTCAGGCAAATCAAGGTCTTGCCGGAGTTCACCAAGTCAATCAGGTGCTGTACCAAGCTTTTCTCAACCTTAAACAATGGAGCACAAGCGAATCAGCAACCCGCATGCTCTAGATAGCTTCCAGGCCGGTTGGGTCGGTGCTTCGGAAGATTGGTCTTGTTCACTCAGGGGGTCAGGAACTGTGTTAGCCTTGGCGATCGTTCAGATTTCGCAATTGGTTCAGGCCAAAGGGCTCAACAAACCAACAGCTTCGCATTGGGAGACTGGTTCTGATTAGCTTGCTATGTTAATTGTCCTGCCAAAGGAGCAGACGAGCCTTTCATGATCAGCGCATTCGCAGGCAAGTGGAATGAGGTCTGCAAACGGCTTGTCCTGCAGGCAAACAACCCGCCCGACACAAGCCAGAGCTATAACAAAAACCTTCTTCTTTGAGTCGCTGACGCTCTTTAACATTTATCATTTAACCGTGGTCCAAGTGCCCGGAATGAGAAAGGTGACCATGAGGATCAATGAGGGTCATCATGAGGGAACATGGGTATTGAAAGCGCTTCGCATCTGGAGCGTCTCTTCTACACACCTGTTGAACAGAAGCCAAATGAAACGTCTCAGTTGTCAAATGAGGGCTGGAAAGCGGACGTCTCAGTTGGCACCAGTGGACCCTCCTCTGGCCTCCCGCTCCCGTCGAGATTCGATCCACTCCCGCCATCCCGCAGTCTTGTAGTCATCTTCATCTCTGCTGTCCACAAAGACGGCCTCTCAAGACCAAACTGTGCTAATCATTGAACACTCAGAAACGTGCTTCAAAAATTGGGGAGCAACAGCCTGACGGACTTGGCAAAATGGGGCAGGAGTCAGTTCAAGAACCGACGGACTCGGAATCGCTGCCTGAACCAAAAGGAAGGTTGCTGTGATTTAGAGCAATGAGGCTAGGTTCTTTATACATGATCAATTGCAACGAGAGTTGGGCAATGAAACCTCGCCGGTGGAAGTTGACAAAAGGGTTCAAAGGACCTCTCCTGAAGCTCTTACTCCTCTGCAGCTACACACATCCCTCCAATGTCCCAGGTCTGCGAACTGCCTCAAGATACAAAGCAAAACACATCTAGACTGGCGCCTTATCATTCTTCATGAGAAGGTACGCTTCTTGGACACTGACATACGCAAAGTCAACGCCACTATCTGGCACCTAGAGCTCTGGCGCAGAAAAGTACAACGGGGGGTCTTCAGTTCAGTGCCTCTACTCTCCCTCCAAAAGTAAAACAAACTGCTGATTCTCATCTGCAAGTGATGATATGGCACTGTATTGTTTCAGCTCGCCCGATTATGCGTGGACGAGAAGTCCATAATCGAAAGTATAAATGTTAAAAAGTAACAGAGGTAATGGACTGCAGGACTGCAAGTAAAACCTTGGAAGTGTTAGGAGCCAAGGCACTCCATAGCCCATGGCAACAAATGGCAGGCCAGGGCGACCACGGCCCAGCAAAAGCAAGAATTGTCTGTTGATCTTCCTCGAAACTTGTCTTGTTGCCCCTCTCATGTTGTTCAGACTGCAGCACCACGCCTTCGTGGCACAAAGACTGAGGTGTACTCTCTGTTGTAAAGATAGTCAGTAGCAACAGCAAGCACACTGCTTCCGGATCACTTACAATGTTTGTATAGCTTCTGTGATGCAGTCAGCCACACATTCAACATTGTTCAAACCGTAGACAAGTAACAAGAAGGTACTAGGGGCTCCTGGCCTTACTACTAGGAGCAAGGACGCTACTAGGGGCTCCTGGCATCGCTACTAGGAGCGAGGACACTATATAGTAGATTCTAGCTCTGCTTGAGCAGGGCAATGAACATTGCACTGACTCCTGTGAGTTGTATCTGTTTTCCGTCAGAGTACAGCACAGCTGCGACTGGAATCAACGGGTCGTCGCCCACAATAACTAAAGCTTGCTGTCTCTGAAGCTGCCCAAACATCTCATGGGAAATCATAGCAAGTTTGGCATCAATATATACAGTAACAATACTGTATAAGAGTGCATATTGATGTGCATATTCTTTCTGCTGGCCTGGCAAACAACGGTCCCTTTGAATTGCTGTTGATCTGTGCCTCTTTACTAACTGTTCACATGGATGATGATTGCCCTAGCTTCTGAGTTCTCAAGCATTGTTGTAAGCTGATATCCTCATCTTACCTAGCTTGCAGGATTGTTGCCAATGAATCCTAGATGCATGCCACCAAGGACGTAGACCTTCCCGTCCAGTTGGCACGCCTCCAGAATCAATGCCAAGGATCAGTGTAGGGTGTTTGTTTTGCTCACTCACAAGGCAGTCTTTGTGCAAGAGCTGGAGGACACTGAGATGTAAAGTCATGACACCAAGAAAGCTGCAGTGGAACACGGTGGAAAATCTGTGGAAAGTTGGCCCTAAATCACAACAAGCTGCCATGTCAGAACCTTTGCGCAGCCCTTCTTGTTTCCTAGCCGTCCCTAGAGCTTTCGAATTTGGCCCGAGACGCAGTCGCACCATGGCGGCGAGTAGTCATGGGCGGAAGCTGCTGCCACGTGTCCGTGAGGCAGTCGTAAAGCTCTGCCGACTTGAAGAAGCTCAGCAGGGCGCTTGCTAAACAATCGAAACCTATGCAAAAACCTGACTCTAAACTTTGGGTGCATAAGTAGGAAGGCCTTTATGTGGCAATGTATGGTTTAACAGGAGCAGCGTTCATTCAGTTCCATTCCAAGTAAATGTTGCCTGCCCAAAAGCGGAGGGTCAGCCTGCACTTGTTGGCCAATGTCTACACCTGTCTTCCCTGGCTACTGTTCTCATCAGCCAAAGGACTCGTCACGTGCACAAAGCTGAGGATGTCTTCGGCAGCCGCCTTCATGAGACCATCGCTAGTGGGTGGAGGCCATCGCTTCTAGATTGGAGGCCATCGCTTCTAGGTTGGAGGCCATTGCTATTAGGTTCCTTTTGCTATTCCCCAAAACAAACGCTCATACAACAAAGGGCCTTCATTAATGACTCTGTACGTCACACTGGGTACGGTTGACGTTGATAACTGGGTGATGCAAATGGCCCCAAAAAGGGAACAACAACAACAACAACCACAAACTACCTGAGGATCTTCCAAGACTCTCTGGAGTCGAGGAAATCCCCTTCGATGGCCTGCAAAGAGCACACGCCCAAGGCCCACATCACAGCTTGCTGCATCCAACCTCGCCATCTCCGGCGATGGCACTCCGACTCCAACCGCCGACATTTCGGCTAGGGCGACAGCCCGATATTTAAAGAGAGAGCTCGCCCAATTCTTTTCTGTGACGACATAGAATCTGGAATTGCAAAAGTGGGACCTCTTGGAAAGCCTTGTGCGGTGTACAAGCAGCAAAAGCTTATGATATTAAATTCTTCAGATATTGCAAAGGCTGGCTCATGCTACACCATCAGAAGCTCTGAAGTTTGAAGGACCAGGCGCGGTGTCCTGGCTGTCATTTCAATTTTCAGGTTGTACGGCTCCAGCGGATGCAACTTGTCATGAAAGTCATGGGACTGTTTTCACCAAGTGGCCGAGATGCCTTCTGTTGCGCCAATGACTTTGCCACAACGCGACCTTGCACCGATAAGAAGCACCTCAGACTGGTAAGCTTTCTCCACACTAAGTAGAGGGTCAAATGTTCAAGACCGTAAGCTAGCATGACAACCTGTTCTTTACTTATAATAAAGCCTCTCCGAAGTGCATTCAGGAGTCCAGTTCTCCATCCAAACTTGGCGCATGAAGCCTCCAAAGTGGAAGAGGCAGCTGGGAGCAGAAGAGACATAAGAGGAGACCAGCAGAATGAGGCCCAAATCCTCCTGCGGAGAGCAGGACCAAGAGATGACTTTGGGGCAGATCATGGCACAATCCGACATGCATGCGAGACCAAAGAAATTGATCCACCCTCCACGCATTGTCAAAGACCCAACAAGTAAAACCATTGGCCTGGCGGCACTCAAAAGTAACGAAGTGTGGAAATCAGTGGAGCACAAGAAGGGTTTGCAATTAATAATAATAGATGAAATGCTACAAAAAACAAAATGGACGACGATTGACTTGCATCATTCTAGAGTCTTCAAGGAGAAGCTTCTAAGAAGCGGCTTCCCCATTGTAGAATATTCTCTCTCCACCCGGACAAGTTCCCACTTGAAGGTCTGCAAGGAAGTGAAAGGCAACATTTACCGGCGAAAATGGTATCACTGTCACCTGCCAAGGAATCCTCATCGCGCACCCTTGCCGAGGCGTATCCAGCAGGAACACTTCAAGTATCCACATCAAACCCATGAGGCGTCCCATCTCTCAGCTAGGTGGACTGATTTCCCATCCTGCAAACATACAAAAACAATCATGAAACCTTGAACTGCTTACTCTGACTTGAGACATAACTTTCTGCATCTCCATTCGTCCAAACTCCTTCAAAAGCTGCTTGAGAGCTGGCATTACTAGACGCAGCTTACGCCGGCGAAGAACCAAAAGCTGAAGGAGCAGTTGCCGATCCTGGAACTGAAAGGACTGAATTATACATCAAATGTCCCAGAAGTTGCTCGAAACCAGCCATCTGCTTAAAGCTTGAAGCACCCATCACTGACAGCTTGAACCCTTTTCTATCTTCCAGGAGCTGATTTTGATCAGACTTTTCACCAGGTAGCCACCAGACTGGAAGGGTTCTAAAGATAGACTTATCAAGACTTATTTTTATTGAGATTTGCAACTGTCCATTCAAGGATAAGTTGTGATTAATGTACTTGTACCCACCTCAATGATACTCTGTGAAGCCTGGCTCAACTGCAAGACTCTCAAGTCAGTAAAGAACAGAAACCAGAGTCCTCCATCCGATGTGCACTCAAAAGGTTCATGCGCCTGGGAAACGGAAGGTGACCCATGAATCTGAACTCACCGCGGAACAGTTGACGGCTGCTTCTTTCTACGGCTGCTTCGGGAGCAGCTCTGCTTGAAGCGTTTGTTTTGTTTTGTTTTGCTCCTCCCTAGCAAGCTTCCAGACTTATGAAGGCAATTACCCTGTTGAACACAAGACACCGAGCAATCTGTTTCTACAGACTCACAAGAAAGGTGTCCCAGCTTGGCTTTACTGACGAACTCGAGCAGCGCAGCGCTGACAAGCCACGAGCGCATTGATCATACACCAAAAACTGAGCCCCTTGCTTCAACCGTTTCGGAGAGTCCCCTGCACAATGGATTCAGAAATCAGAACAAACTTGAAGCCTCATAAAGCCCTGTGCTGCCAAGGTCAAACAATTCTGTATCTCACATTGGTGACAAAGAAGTGTCAGGTTTTCTTGGTGTATTCCTTGTTGCCTGGAAGATAAAGCCACTACGAAAAGAACGTCCACCAAATCTGCCGAACTTCCATACGCTTTCCTTCACCAAAGCTCAAACTTTCCACCTGCCACTGCGACGCCCAGTCGACCAGCATCTTCAGCTGCAACCACTTCACCACGCTTCAGATTCAGTGCTTGGCCTTGCTCGCTTACCTGGATTAAGGATTGGTTGCAAAAACAGCAGCAGCAACAACAACAAGTGTCGTTGTACCCACGATATCTGCAGCTCCTTTTTTCCTGCTTCTCTATATAGTCCATTTCCCCCCACACTTCAAATCTTGCGCTCTGAGTGGCAAGGCCATGGATAAAAACCGGGCTGCCAACCTGGGTGACCATCTGAGTCTTGCTGAAAGTCTTTCTATGTCTCTACACTCCACATAATACCAGGTCCGGTCTTGCAAATCTTCAAAACCTTGTACAGTACAAAGGAGCACCTTCACTGACAATTCAGGAAGGCCGAAATTTCTTCCACGTTACTGACAAGTCGGCTGCCATGGGTTCTCGCCACAAGGCGACCCTGCTGTGAAGATTGGAGTCGCATGAAATCAAATGAAGTCCCCGAGTAAAAGACAAATAGAGCAGGTTTAATGTGCTACATGGGGCTGTCAACCCTGTTAGTCTGCCACATGGATATGTTAACCTGGCATGTGTGGCTTCTTGCAAGACCTTGAAGCGCTTTACTTAGCAATAGATGATGAGACTTCTCAAGCACTTCCGGCAAACTCACTCAGGTCCCACATCCACTAGAATGTTGCTTGAGCCCTTGTGTGCTTGGATGCCATCGAAAAAATGCATCTTGGCAAATCACAGATTCGCTTCTATGTGTGTACGTTGCGGACGGCCATACAGTCAGCTTCTGGGAAGAGGATCACGGTGCTCATGCCCCTAAACAACAAGTTCACTTCTAGAAAAACATTGCTAGGCCAAGGCGGCCAAGGGTTTGATGCTTCGGCCTTTTTTCCTGTTCGGCATTTGATGGGCAACCAAGCCAAAGCGATCCCCGCCTTAGCGCCTTGGACGCCGTCCAAATCCCCGAGCCTTGATCGAGCAAAAGTCTCACAAATAAACGTTCAATGCTGGTCTGGTCAATTTTTTTTCGCACTTCTCTGAATGCTTCTTAAATAGAACGGTCTTCTTCTTGAGCTTAGCAAATGAGAAAAGTTGATGAGGAAAGAAGCAGGAAGGGGAGATTTGACAGATTCCACAAATCCAAGAACTGCATTGCTCTTTCCAACTCTGCACCCGCGAAGAATGTACCTAGGTGCAAGCACAATGTTGTGCATACTACATACTCTTCTCTATGCTTCGTGGGCCAGGTCACACTCTTGGCTTGGGTGGAGCTCGAGGCCGTTGTGGCTTCCAGCTTGGATGTGACCATCTCGATGAGATCTCAGCTGAACGGCCCGAGAATATGAACTTGCAAGACGGGTAGTCCTGTCTTGGCAATTCCTACGTTGATGCTCCTCCTTAAAGTTCCTTTCAGTTGCATCCAAACTCTGGGTCACCGGGCTTCGCATGGACGGCTGGCCCTTCGGGTTTCTCTTAGCCAAGAGCTTTCCAGTCATAGCCTTTCGTGGCATTTGGGCTCTGAAACTCATGGATTGGGAGAGCGACCAAATGCTTCCTTGCCTCACCTAACCAGGCATTCAATACCCGTTCTGTGATTCAAGGCTTCAGAAGTTTCTTTTGATCTGACATTGCTAAGCTTGCGGCGCGCTCCTTAGCTGTCCTTGGCAATGCAGCAGGAACACCAGTTGTCTAAAGGTGTTCTGATGACTTGGATCCAAACAAGGTGAACCAACCATTGAGAGCTCATTGATGCATTGCACATTTGAGACTTTGCGATCAAGGGACTGCTTTTTCTTGCGGTTGCGCTCCCGCTTGTCCTGCTCAGACTTTGGACACCCCACCAAAAGACACTCTACTTCCTTCGCATTCATCATTAGCATGCTGTTTTGCCGCAGCTCGACATTCTTCAATTGAGCGACGTGCCTCCTCCCGTTGTTTTTTCAGCAGCTGCTTTGGCTGCCTGAGCCTCTTCGTATGCCTTCAGTTCCCTGCAAGCACAAGCTTGAGCTGCGGTTCCAATTGTAATCTAGGCTTGACAATGAACAAAAAGAAAATACAATGCAGTGCTCAGTTCAGTCCATGACACCTGCACACAACTTTCAGAAATATACTTCATCACCTCACGACTTGTTAGGCCTTTGATAACGGCTTGGTACCTGGCAGGGCAGCGGTCTTCTGGTTGCTGTGAACATGAAACACTCTTCCTTCACTCAAATGGCCCATTGTGATGCATGATGAAATGGCCTTTTGCTTTGTTCTATAGCGAAGCCCATAGTCATGGAACATAACGAGTTTTCATGAATCACCACATGACCAGGCGGAGCCTGGGTTGGTTCTGTATCTAATAAACACAACCCTTCTGCAAAGTCGGGCTTGGACGCATGTATTAGCTCTAGAATTACCACAGTTATCCATATAGCAGCCAACATCAGAAGGACCCTCAACTCTGGCCAAGCTCCAGTCTGAGGCCTAAAATGCTTTCGTGGTATCACTGAGCATTCCAACTATATACGTGGTCACGGTTAATCGGTTGCATGGTAGTTTCATAGGGGCTAGAGAAAAAGTACTTGTTTCACCACAGCGAAACGATGATTCTGGCGAAAAATGTACTTGTATAGTATGCACTTGACAAACACAGAACCACATCTCCCAACCCAAAAACTCCTTCACAAAGTGCAGCCACAACTAACTCAATATCCCCCGCACAAGCCTGTTCTCGAAGCCAATTACTTCAAGCCACCTATCCACCCCACCCATCCACTCCCATCCACCCAAGCAAGTTACACTATATAATTAAGGAAGCATCAACATCTTCTTTGCAATGATAATGAACATCAATACGCCACATACGCACACACACACACACACTCGAGATATTGCGTACTGAACTGATCGCTCCAATCCAAGCGCTGAAGAAGCCTAATTAAGTGAAAAAATTGCACGCACGCACGCACGCACACACACACACACCCAGGCATTGCACCCGAAGCAAGCCAACCAAACAAGCACCAGCAATTCCCAAAGCAAGTTACTTCCAGGAAGAATTTAATGAACACCACCCCACCCCGAAGAAATTCCACAAAGCATAAGCATGAGCATCCAAAACAACGCAACAACAGTCCGAAAAATGGCTAGAAAAGCACCAGGCAACCTATCAAACAGCCAGCAACTACTTCGGTCAGTGATACCAGGTTCCAATGTTTCACAGAAGTCCTACAAGCGGAGGCGCTTTCTGCATCGCGGCCAGCTCGTTTTGGTTAACACTAGAGTTGTTGATATCAGAATCACTGTACGAATCGGGCCTTTGCTTTTGCTGCCACCTTTGCTTTTGGCTTCCAGCTTCCTCACCAGGCCAGTACAAAAGAACTACTGCAACCAAACACCGAAACACCTTTCTGCCAATGTCAGGCACCTTCGACGGTGGATCCTATTTCCATCACCGTCGGAATCTCACAGCACAAAGATCATGCTCAGCCCCTTGGTGCTAACTGCAGAAGGAAAAGCTCCTCAAAATCATTGAATCCAGGTTGAGTCTAAATGTGTGCGGTTTTGGTATTTTGCTGACCCCCTAATAGCCTTGAAGGGAGTATCCAAAAGGAGTTTGATTGGAAGCCAAGCAAAGACTTGCTTCCTGAGTTCGTAAATACTCCCCATGGTTCAACCTTCTTGCAGAGCTAGCCACACTACGCTAATAGTGCTGCCACCTATGTGCTTTCCCTTCGGCCCTTCACACACTGACACCTGGTTCTGTTGTCGGCTGGGAAGCAGCTTCAATGCGCCGCCTCAGAAAAACATGGACTGGCTAAGCCTAGAAGGAAACCACAGACCTGTGGCTTTTGACAGAAAATCTGTGATATGGTCCCTCATGAGTGGCCACAATACTATTCTGCAACTAGTGCCTTCCGCTGGCCAACATGAATGTAAGGGTAGAAACCAGTGGTGCAAGACAAACTTTTCTGTGGTAGTATCCAAAAAGCCTCCTCTATGTCCCTCCTTTTCCTCTCATCAGTCTCAAAACGAACCTCTTCCGCCGTTTTTTTGCAGCTTCTGGTGCGGCCTGACGATTCATCCAGACATGAATCACAACTGACAGGGTACATCTGGACACCAGCTTTGGAACTGAGAAAATAAATCTCATCTGCTCTGTTCTTTTTGAAGCTTGCGCCAGAGATTCACTGCAGTAGAGATTCACTGCAGTAGCTGACGGGCCTCAGCCTTCGCAACGGGCTTGCCTCAGCCAAATAATTGAATCCCCACGCACTCATGACTCGTTACCGTTATTGTGTCTAGAGTCTAGGAACTTTGTCTTGACAACTTCGGGTGTCTCTGCAGCAACCAGCGCTTTCTTCTTGCCATGAATATCTTCTCCAGAGTGGACCGGAGTTTATCCACTCGCCCAGCCATCTCTTGCCATCGGTGTAAAACTTGCTTTGGTTCCAGCTTGCCACCGTCAAATTATCCATCGAAAACCAAGCACACTGTCCCTACAACCCTGGGACCATACAAACGAAACAATCTTTGGCATCAATGAAAGCCACCTGAAGTGTGTGCAAGACGAATGCTGGCTGGAAGCAAGGCTTAGCCGGAGCAATGGACCTACACAGATCCAGACAAAAGGTAGAGGTAGTGGTGCAATCACCCACGAACCTCTTTATTGTCCTGATTCCTCCTGAAGGGTGGCTTGCGGTTACAAAGAAATGATGCCACAGAAGCCACAGAAGGATGTACTGCGCCGAAGAAAAAGGTCTTCCCTTGCCAAAGGGGTCGAAAGTCGAATCGAAGTTACATCAATTGAGGATCAGTTGCTCTGGGACAACTGCCCTCCACGAGAAAGAAAGATTGTGTATGTTGTTTCTTAGTGCGATGAATCAGCTTACGAGTGATGCCAGATGTTGCATGATTTTGTGACTGCTTCTATGCTACTGGCCACTTGGGTACAAACAACCAACACCGACGTGTTTGAACTGCGTACGTAGGCGCATGCTGCACATGCAGCCAGAGTATGATGCATCATGAAGAGTCAGGACTCAAGGCAGTGCTCGCTCTCTTGACCTCGACCGGCCCCAAGCGAAAGTATTCTGTGACTCTCAGACTGCCCAGGGTCTCCAACCACGAGACCTAGCAGCTTGCTTAGCAGGCACAGCAGCACTTGCCCAACACTTTTTGCCACATAAAGTGATGTGAGTCCCACCCCAAAGGAGGCCTAGAAACCAACGGGGCAGCCAAGCTCTCGTGGGCCGTGTGCGAAGCTGCAATGAGTTCCACGACTACAGCTGCCTGAGTACATCAGGATGTATTCTGTTCATGGGAACATTCAAACAAAAGGTAAAGAATAAGTTTGTTGCTTTATTTACACCTTGATCGAAATAGATTCGAACTCTCTCAAAAGCACTCACAAAGCTCGTACGAGCATTCTGAGGAAAGAGTCTTGGCCAAGTTTAACTGTCTGCTTTGCCCCAATTTCAATGGAAGCCTTCCAAAAAGTTGGCGCAAAGCTTGGTCTTGATGGGTCCAAAGAACCAACCACCTTTGCCAAAGCCATTCCTCAGCGACACAAAAGTGCCTCACATCTTCTGAACCTACACTTCAGACCAATTATGTGACCTGATGAGCACTCGCTGAAGAACTCGTCGGTGCTTGTGAGAAGCTCATGCGTGCCCTTGGGAATGAATTATATGGCCAAATCCGCTCACACCGAAGGTGCTGAGGCGTTACACTGTCAGTAGCGCACTCATTGCTATATTATAGCTTTAGCTAGGGTGAAACATGAGGTGTGTCTGGGAGAGGAGTGGGTGAAAGAAAACATTGAAAAATGGTTTTCTCATATCATGTATGTCATGTCTGACTAGCTGTCTCATTATCGTATCAGTTGCATCACCAGGTCCTTGAAAAGCAAACAAGTGACTCCTCTCAACAATCTATGTCTCTAAAGACCTTTCATGATTGCGTCATACTGTTGATGGACAAAATCCTGCACCATTTTGTGCACAGTTTTCTTGCTGCCCTCGTTCTCCCTCGTTAACATTGGGGCCACCGCAGTGAGAAAAATAAAACAAGTTGAAGGTCCAAAATCCTGCACCACCTCCTCAGAGGGGTTGCGCCAACATTGAACGAGGGGGGCAGGGGTTGCTTTGCGACCCTTCCAGGGTAAAGTGGTGAGGTGGTGCAGGATTTCGTCCATCAACAGTAGGCGTCGGCTGGTTGCAATTGTACAGTTCTTTAATGGTGACATATAGGTCAGCTGGCTGCAGCTGTAAACTGTTTTGTACAAAATGCCTGCAAAGGAATATAATTTGGACACCTGAAAAAGATGCACAACTTAACTTCAAGGGGGTCGAAACATATATCAAACAATGCTTGCAACTGTAAGTGGGATTGGCATGATGTTCAGATTCTAGTTGAACTTATTCGGGAGAAGAGGTCTCTATAATCACACTACTTTTGGACCCTTTGACAAGTTGTTTCGTTATGTCTTACTTGCAATTTGCAAGCGTTGTTGGATCTATCTTTCCGACCTCCTTGAAATTGTACATGTTCAAGGGAGTAAAGCATAGAGTGATTATGCTCAATAAGCTGTACAATGCTTGATCGAGACAACCTTGGAGATGAACGCAGCATGAAGTGGATAAATGTTGTTACGCTGGGGATTCACCATGCCCTTTTTTGGAAGCAAGGACAGGCGGTTAAAATCTAGACTCTTAACTTATTTGCAAACTTGCAAGCATCGTTGGATATATTTTTCGACCCCCTTGAAATTGTACATTTTGCAGGGGGTCCAAATTACATCCAACAATGCCTGCAAAATAATACAATTTGGAACTCCTGAAACATGTACATCTACATAGAAGAATAGGCAAAGTCTTGCAAATGTCTGAAAGGAAAGCCTTGATGATCATGGACTGAACAGCGTGTCCACACTGCCAGGATATGCCAGGTGTCTTCCCTTTGCCTTTGCTCTTACCTTTACTTCGGTCACCTTGCAAAACAATCCAGCACGCTAAATGGTTGTTCAGATTTGCACAAATGAGGGTAGTGGATACATAAACTCAACATGGGCCTTTGCCTTTGCTTTCTCCTTTCGGCTCCTCGTGTTGATAGTTGCATTCAGCCTGACCAAAGCACAGCTCCACGGCAAAGGCACTGGCTGTCTGCCGCTGAGGAACTCCTTTGTTGCAGCTGCCTTTTGCAAAGTAGACACCTTGGAACACACAAAACATCATGCTCAAATCGGATGGAAATGCAGGCATGCCGTGTCTTTTGCAAGTACATTCTGTACCTCTCTAGCACCTGTTCTATCTAATTGTGCGGCAAAAACCTTGAATATCCTTTTGTCGCCAAAGCAACAAGGCTTCATTCTCTTCTCAGCGTCCTTCCCCTGCCCAAGCTTTTCTGAAACGTGAATTGGAGACTTCAACCACCAACATGAAACCAATGCTATTGCCATTGCATGTCTGAACCAAGCAATACGAAAAAGATACTAAACACACAACTTGTAGTTTTCTGTTCAGTCCTATCTTGTTGCAGTCATTGCACCGTGCTTCGTTTCAGTCTGCAACTCGTGATTCATTGAACTGGTTCGCCCATCTGTACCAGCAACTTTTCTGTCGTGTCCAGGTCTTCCAGCTTTTCGTTGTTTGCATTTTTTAGGACATGACATGGGGGGATCCAGGTGCCAGGACGCAGCGGGATCAGGCTTAATGATTTGTTCCTAGAATTTCTAGGGAAGCTAGATACTGTCAGGTGTTGCATTCTGTCACGCAGTGCTGTTGCATGCGGAAAGTTGCTGCCGTTAGGTGTGAGGGCATCAGGGCATGGCGGCTGTGGAAGCACCGCGTGTGGTTCGCTCTTGTGCCAAGAAATTCTGGAGGCACCAAATTGCACCTACAACAGCTTCATCAACAGCTTCATCATCTCTGCTGCAAGTTGGCTGTTGAAAGGAAAGTCTTTTTGCGTTTGCTACTTTAGTGTTTTGTTTGAGCAGCTCAGCCTGGCTTCACTGAACTCGCCTTGAAAGCAGCACAGCTGTTTCAATACTAGCCAAAGGATAGCGGCACAGCCTCCGTTTGGGCCTTACTCTGATCGCTCACCTGGCATGCACACGCGAACATGGAATCCCCGAACAAATGGATTGAAGCCCAGTCGGCTAAAGTGCTCCAAACAACAGCGAACTGCTTCTGCCAATCCTTTACAGTGTATAGATGTGTCTAGTATATTAGTTTGTACAACTGGATATTTCTGTTGTACTTGTATGATTGTCGCCCAACCCTCCGAAAGTGCCCTTCAGGATGTTGCTGCATGCCATCTCTAACATGTACTGTAATTGTACAATCCTTGCACTCTCACTGTCGATCAACCCATGACTTTCGGTTGCTTCCAAGTGAACGAGTCTCGAATCCTGTGCCCTTCAGGATTTCCTGAATATCATCTCCAACATGTACTGTATTGTACTATCATGTACTATCCTTGCACCCTCACTGTCGATCAAGCCATGATTTTTTGTTGCTTCCAAATGAACGAATCTCCAATCCTACGCTGATCCAGGCATCTCAAGCTCATGAGTACAGAGCTGCGAACAACAACTGCTCACAAACAACGCAGGTGACACCTTTCAAGCGTCGGTTCCGGGCATCAAATGAGTTAATTGTTCGGATCCGGCAGTGAGGCACCTTCGCAGCGTCACCTTTCTTGGTCTCTGGGTCCTCGCCAGTCTCTTTCGATAGTCAAAGTGCCGCAGTTATTGTGCTTATCTGTGCCCAAAGTCCCTACTTCGTTGTGCAATGTTGTGCATACATCTACGTTCTCTGCAATGTCTCCAAAGGACGATGACTGGTGCCCCATGTTGAAATCCTTTTGGGGGATGCCATGGTGTGCCTAGTGATTTAGTGGTCCCTGCAGATGCACGTGCGCCAATGGATCGTGCAAACGGTCGAGTCAGCAGTAGAACAGTCACATCAGCATAGGCAGTTCTCCTTGAACCTCTCTCCCTTTCGACCTTTTCCATTTGGAACCTCTCTTTCCCCCTTCAGGGCAGGTCAAAAAGAGCCAAATTCAAATCCTAGAGGTGGACTTTCGGGAGACAACCCACAACTATGCCATACAATGCCTAGTGTCATTATCCAAATAAAAAAGAAGCTTCAGTAGTCATCCTTGAATGATACTGGAGTGTCTTGTACTACGCAAGACACGACGTGCATCAATGCTACTAAAAGACATGGCTGCCTTGCAGTCATTTCTTACAACCATTTCTTGCAGCTTGATCTGCCCCCACATTAGCTGTGCACCTGTGAGTCTTCGTGCCTGTCGTGCCTTTGTCCACCTGAAGCGCAAGCAACGCGCATGGTTCTGGCTTCCCCGGATGATGTCGTACAAAAAGCACTGACAGACTGACATTACAAAACGGGGAAGCATAGCCTGAAAGATATATATATATTATATATATATATGTATATTATAGGCTTTAAAAAGGTGCAGGCCAGGCGCCTAGATGTAGCTCGTGAGCACCATGAGCAAAGGTGCAATCTGCTCCCTTGGGGCAACTTCCTGCCAATCAGCTCTCAGTAAGAGATTTTAGAAACTCTGACTCTGAGCACAGAATAGGTTGTCAAGCCTCGAAAGGGTCACATACCACAGACGAAATGGTCTCTGTCACGGCCCAAAAAATAATAGGGAGCGAACAAAAACAATTGAAATCTGTGAATGGTTGAAATCAATGTCTCTTTCGCCACGCCGCCTTCCACGTAGTAGCCGCAGATCTTCGTCTTGAAACCAACTTTGGGCCGTTCTTCTTTCCAGTTCCCATTTTGGGTCTGCATGTTTCCACTGGTGGCATCCGTGGACCAATCCCAGTGATTGGGCGTCCATTCGGACCAGCCAGACCAACTGGTGCTGCTCTGGCCTGCAATCAGGTCTACATACAAGTAGCGTATTGCTTTCACGTCTGGCTCCCAAGGCTCGAAAGCATTCGAAGGCATTTCGTCCGTCCCCCGAAACGCCAATCTTTGGGATGCGTTTTCCAGGTGGAAAAAGATGACCAAACTTTGGCGCCTCCATCAGGGACGGCTGTTGAGGCCGAAGAGCCTCCTTTGACGTCCAAATGTCGAGTCCACGCGTCTGACACACTTCTCTCCACATGCCGCATGCCGCTTTTTCCCCCTCTGAATTCCAAAACATGTATTACCTACTACAGGATTTGCTAGAACAGCTTGCACCCAAACAAGGCATGTCACACAGGAACGGGGCTCATGTTTCGGTTGTTCACGCTTCAGCACACCAAATGGAAGACTAGACGTTTCGGACACACGTAGTATTAGTTGTGTGATCCATGGTGCCCAAGGCAACGAATGGCGCTCTCCTGTCACAACAAAGGGCATTTGGCCACAGCCATAGCCAGCACAGGAACCGCAGCCGTAGCAAGAGCCGCAGCTGCCATTGCAGCATCCGTAGCTGAAACACAGGGAGGAAACATGTCAAGGGATGTGGGGATGATACCTGGGGAAAAACACGATGCCTTCTCAAAGTGCGACGCAAGCCTAATCATGCTTGGCTTGGCTGGGAAGGGAATGGGTGTTCAATCTCATCTGCCCTGTCAATTCAAACGCCCCTTGCAGGCCCCTGTCTTGTGCTTTTAAGCGGGCCTGGCAGGAAAGCCGTTCACCATCCCACAGCCCATGCAGCCGCACATCATGCCAGCCATTGGCATTTCCACCTGCGTCATGAAGCAAGGTGCCATGGCGGCCATTGGTGCACTTGGCGCCGTGCCACCTGTGAATCACAAGCAGCGCTGTCGGATCATGAGCACACATGGAGGTCCTGCTCCGGTTCATTGCCTCACAATGTTTCTGATGAAAGGGTTTCAGTTCCTGAGAATGCTCACCAGTTGAAAGACTGGATACAGTACATAACAAGTGGTACCTATATAGAAGGTTTTGTGGTGTCTCAGCCTGGCATCATCTGCTGATCTGCGCACGCCATGGCTGACCAGACTAAAGCGTCAGCGAAGCTCGAGTCCAATATGCCCGCAAGGGTGAACAGTTCTTTTATATTCAGGCCATTTGATCGGCCAGCCTACACATAGTACTGGTAAGACTGCAGAGTCGTCACTTGGTGTCCATGAGATATCAACGTGCTGATTACGAACTAACATTGCCCACAACACCCTGTCTGCAAAACCCTAGAACTCTTCACTGGGCCATGGCTTTCAAACCAAGGCACCTGCACCTAGACCAGTCAGTTCCAGGCGCCGCTCCTGCAGAGTGAGCGGATTGGACAAAAGGAGACCATTCATCCTCTGCCCTTTCCAGCTCATCTTAGAACCGATCTGCCACACAAAGGTATTAAAGCAAAAAACATGTAACGAAGTTGCAAGCCTGTCCAAAACCTGACTTATTTGTCCCTACCAACAGCTGTCAGCCCTTCGATCAACACGCTACAGTAGCACCGACAAGTGAAGATAGTCTGCAGCAATTCAGGCATTTACGCGTGCATTTCTCTCACAAAACAGCCATCTGAGAGTTCTCAAAGCATAAGATCCGTGCGTAGTCCGCATCCACCTGGTCTGCTCCCTGATGGTCAAGCAGTGGTCTCCCAACAAAAAGGCCAAACAACAAAACCAAAACGACAAACGTGTGGAACTGCGGATTGTCGCTGGCGTAACAAGATTAGAACAAAGCATACATACAACTTCCTCTGCAAAGGTTCACGACGGAACCAAACTATTCCAAGGTGTCCTTAAGAACGACACCACAGCAAACACCAAAACCCGCTCTGCTGTTGCAAAGCACATGCGCTCATGCAAGCGTGTCCACATGTCCTTTCGTTTGAGTTTGCAAGAAAATTGTCCAGAACAAAGCACTCATCGTCAAAGCCTAAATAGAGCGGCTTCACCCGTCCTTTGAGCCCCCTGGTTACTGTAGGCAGTTCTGGCATACCGGAACGCAAACAAGAGGTTCCTGATGCTTGCAGGCGCCTGTCACGCCTTTCCCTGCTGGAAACAATTTGTTCCTTTCTACACTTGGCAAAAGAAGATGGTGCAACTCTCATGCATTGGTTATTGCTCCACCTTCCATGTAAAAATGAATTCTCAAACACCGTCCCATTCTTCGCTGGGCCTCTGAGAGCACACGCTGCAACAAAGCAGGCTCACCAAGTCCTTGTCGCTCCTGTGCACGGCTCGAAAGCAACTGTTGTACGGTTCCACGTGGCTACCTTGATGAGGTGAGCGCCAAGGAGAAAATCTGAACTATGTTGCATCTAGCAGAGGCAAACCAATACACCAAACAGAAACAAGTACGTACGCCGTAGCTGCCTTGCAAAAGAATGATGTTCTGTCTTCAAACCCATGGTGTCGTCAGAGTACCAACGGAGGCTTTGTCCTCATGCCGCTGGAGTCGCTTGAAGCGAGCATGTGTCTTGTGGCGTTCGTAAAAACGCTGCTGACGCTCTCGCTGCACATACCTTTGGCACCACGGGGAGTTCAGCGCAAAAGAACCACAATTCATCCATACATGGCATGCGGTCATTTAAACAATTCTGGGTTTCCATGTTGCTTCCATCATTTGGGTGAAACATGCCCGATTCCCGTTCACTGAGGCTACTGGAACACTTCGTCAAACAACAACTTTTGCGGATTCCTGTCACAATCTTTTGGTTGGTGGACATGAAAATTACTTCCCACTGCACTTCTCAGAATCAAAAGTGTTTGCGAAGGTTTAGTATCAATCAAATCCAAAAATGTGAAATCATTTATAAGCATGTGCCCATAACACTTGGCACCTGTTTCCTGTAAACAATTGCAAAACAACATGGCGAGTGCGCTTGGGATTTGCAGTCAACCTGTCCGTCCAGTGTTCATACCACAGTGTTTTGTTCTGTTCATCCCTGGTTCTTTGCATTCCAAAAACCCGAACCAAAGCACTGTATCATTAATGTTTTTTTTAGAGGTTTAAGCATTTCATTCACAAGTATCAAAGTTATCAAAACCGAAAAAGCAAGCTGATAGTTTTACCCTTGTTTGTTCCCGTTGTTGAAGCGGCACCGACTCCATTTGACAAATATGTCCAACGCACATCATCAACGTGTTGGCAAACAAATTCCAGTTTATAAATCCGCTCTATTCTCAGGCAGGCAGCGTGTTGTATGGTACTGCCTTTCGACGCGAGGTTTTCTTCATGGCAAAATGTGTGTCTGCCACCTAAATGACTCTTACCTCCACACATGCCAAAGGTGCAAACCTATCTCAATGTCTTCCAATGTTTGCAACAGTTTGGCAATTGAATTGCCCATCTGACTGTTGTTCAACCTCATTTGTGCTGAATAATGCATGTTCATGGTGCAACAAAACAAACCACATGAATCCAAATCACGTTTCGCGCCCAGTCATTTGCTGCAAGCCCGAAACAAGTGGTGAAGAAGAAACATGTGGCTGAACTTTCTGGCATCTTGTCTTGCTGGCACAACCTTCCGTTGTGGAATTGGATAAAACCAAGTGAATTGTTGTTGTTTTCAACATGCAAGCCCGCCTGCATCGAGTAAAATAAACCGATGTTGTGAAGAAAATTCGAAGAAAAATCATATATTCCAACTGGAGGACATACGGACTACTGCAATCAGAGTAGATTAAGGTTGGATATCAAATGGCGCAGTTACCCCCAAACAGATTTGTGCCCATTCCTCTCTTTGGGGGTTCCTAGGACCATTTGGCAACCCAACGATCACTTGCTTGGATGTTTGATCTCTGCGCACTGGACGCGACAAAGTTTTTGCCGTGGAAACATCTTTGCCATGGATACACACATTAAGACAAAACTCAGGCCTCGTCGAGTCTTGCCACAATGCACATTGGTTGCATGATGAACCTTGAATAAACGCACCAAAATATCCCGGCAAGGGACCCCAAGTGTGTCTGAATGTTCAAGGTCCAGAGGTGCCTTCCAGAGATCTGCACCCACCCATCCTATCAACCCCCGAGCTACCAAACGCAAGTCTCAGCCAACAGGTTTCTTTTTCCCCTCCCTCTTTTCAACTCTTCTGCAGCTCAGCGTGGGCGGGTGGAAAATCCGCAGCAGCTGAACAAGCTTGGGAACAACATGGCCAAGTGGTGCCACACCACCTCTTTTTGCTTGCGGTGGGGGCAGCCCCTACCGCTCCCCCAATTGAGCAGCGTGTGTGTGGGGGGTCTTCCTTTATGGGACGAGAATGTTCTCTTTTGACTGGAGGGTTTGTTCTCTGCCTGTCTTTTCCTTGAAGCCTTCGGCGGATCGATTCCCTCCTTTTGTTGGCGAAAATGCTGGCAGCGGCTTGGACAGACGGATTGTCTGTTTGGTCACATGAAAGTTTGACACGCAAACTCACGAAAAACAGAATCTTTCTCCCAAACTCTCAGCGTGAAAGCCTGTCTTTTGAGTCAAGCGTGTGCACGACCCGAACCGAAAAGAAATAAATGAAAGGTCAATGCTCGTTTGGTGTCTCATTTATGAATTCACAAGAAACTCCT